TTTTTTTTTTTTTAACCTGGGATTGAACTCAAGACCTTGTGCATGGCACCACTGAGCTAAGCCTCCAGGCCCTGTTTCCTTTTTCTTCATGCAGAGATACTTTAAATCATTTATCATCCACCTCTCCCCCCATCCCCAATTTGGCTACAGGTATCCCTGAAACCAACTTCCTATCTGCCAGGAATATATATATGATGTTTCCCCAATCCCTCCCTACTCCAGTACTTTGGACCTTAATTTTTTTAAGCATTGACTTTTCTTCATAAAATTTCTGAATATGTTTTGATTCTAAATATCTTCGAAGAACAAGCAAAATTCTTAGAGGATAAAAAAGCAGAGCTGTGGTAGCTGTATAAAGCTAGATGGCAGGAATCAAAGGTAGATCAAATTCAGTACTATAATTTTTTAGAAAAGATGTTAATGGATATTTAGCTAAGGGTGACAGAATTTTTGATTACAAGAAATTTACCTAGAGCTTGTTACATTAGCTAAAGAAATATAATTCTAGAAAGTAGATATATGGGAGTTAATAGACATTTCTTAATATAGCAAAAATTAGAGACTTTGTAGGAGATAAACTAAGGAACTAGTGAATATACAGAGGTGTAAAAATTCCATGTTTGAGTACTAATTTAACGTGTGTTTTGCTTTTAATCTTAAGTTAAAATATTCTTTTCACTTCTAGAACCAGTAGTGTTGAGGGCCATTCAAGACTACTCATGAATTAGTGCAGCTGAAATTCATCTTCAGTATCATTTTCTGTCTTTCACAATTTCTCCCATTTATCCATCAACAAGTAGTCATTTTCTTTCACTCCAGAAAATTACATTCGAAGTTTGTTCTCTATTCTCTTACTTGCTAGACTAGCTTAATTCCCCTTGTTTTATGTCTGTTTCCTTAACAATTTGTATTTTCCCCTTTTGTACTTGTCTCATTTATTGAATGTTGTTCTTTTTATTCAATTGCTGTAACACAGTGACATATTTTAATAATTATTTGTTAAATTAATCGACTGGAATGCACATCTCTCTGTGGGAATTTGTAATCTTCCTAATGCTTAACATTGTGGTTGATTTAATCTGAGTGGCATAAAAATTGATTTCACAAAGCCAACAGGTAAGGCTTTTTTTAAAGAAAATCATAGGAAAAGAAAAGCATAGGAAATGATTTTCAGGAATTTCAAGTATCAGTGAAAAATATTTAGTCTGTTCTCGTGGTCTTCTCCATTTCTATTTGATTTTGTGTGGTTAACCTAAATACAACTTTCCTTGCTACAAGTTCCAGTTGATCTCTTTTTCTATTTCCTCGCCCGCCCCAAGTTTAGAAACTTTATTAAAGTTAAAGAAGGTCCTGGATAGTATGTAGCTGCAACTGAAAAAAAGTCTCACATGTGAAGATACACATTTATAAAGCAATCAAGGAGAATGGTATTGAATTAAAAATGTTTACTAAATATTTTTTAGTAAACTACTGCAGCCAACATTACTTCAACTGACAGAGAAAGAAGAAACTTTTTCAGACCATAAACTGTGGCAGTAAAAAAGTAAGTTTTTTGTAATACCAAAAGAAAAAAAACAGGGAAGACGTTAAAACATCTACAAGCAGTCCATCTTGTATCCCACTGTGCTTCCATTCTAACGTTTTTCCATTGCTTTGTGTCATTAAGCTACTTCAAATTTCAAGATAAGCGGGAAACAACTGACACCTCAATATCTTTGCTGTTTTTCTCCTCACGGGAGAAGGACAGCGTGGCTAGTTGAGCCATTTCCACCAAGTACATTATAACAATCATTTAAATTACAATTCCAGATACTGCCTGTCTTCCCGGGCGTTGAAAAAGTTAAGAAAAAGTCAGGCGAGCCCACACTGACGGACACTGATCCAGCGGCGCTGAGGGTTTTTGTATCTCACCCAATGGGCGGAGAGTGGACCCAGGACTTCTGTACTGTTTAAAGTCCCTGAAGGCCTTTACTTTCAATTAGTAGGGAAAATAAAAAGTCCTCTAGCCAGAGGGAGTTGGCGAGTAAGGTACAAGTTTATGAAGAACATTCCCCACCCGCACAGAGTCCGACAGCAGAGGGCACAATACCCCCTGGCCACTGCCCTGAGGCGGGCGAAAAGGAGGAGCAGAATCTCACGATCGTTGGGGCTTGTAGTCCATCATGGCTCCCTCGGGCATGTCCGTCCCCTGACGAGTACCACAACTCCCAAGGTGCTTCGCGCAATCCTTTTTCCACCGCCCTTCCAGCCTTGTCAGGAATCTCCCGGGAAACGGTCCTGCCCCACCCCCACACGCACGCGTCACGTTTGTTTACCCTGAGGCCCCACCTCCCACCGCCTTCCGGCTCTTCCCGCTCCCCGCTGGAATGCCGTCCTGCTAGTTATGCATATTCATGAGGCCCGAGCGGAGCTACCGCCCGCCTCCCGCCTTCCTACTCCCCGCGAGTGATTAATATTCAATGAGGCGGGATTCGCGGCTGGCTCGCCTGGGTGAGGCGGGGGGAGCGGGCGGGGCCTGTCGC